AAATCGACAGGTGATTTTATCCTGCCTTGGGCACAAACTGGAACAACTAAACTTTCCTTCTGGGAAAGGGATGACTAGAATTCTCAGGGAGAAAGGCGTGGCTTAGTATGAGGAATTGGTTTCCTTTTATGAGAAAGGAGTAAGTTGTTGATCTTACTGGCTCAGGGCCACCGTATGTGGTTTGCTTAACTTGTAAGGAGGGGGGAACATTTCTTCCTGACAGGGAAAATGCCTGTTTGGGGATTTGTTAGTATAGCGATTTCTTCTGGAACAGCTATTGGCTCTGGTCAGATCTTGTCTGCAGTTGCCCTGGGAACGCAGGGAGAGCTTTGGGGCTTTCTGTGGATGACTGAGAGGACACCTGTAACAGACTAGACATTTAGTTGCTGTCCATGGGTTTTACTACTAGTTGGCTGTCCCCTCTGAGTACTTACAATGTGACCAAATCCTTTTATATGTGTTAGCTTAAGCCACATAACAGCTCTATGCATTATTTTTTTTGCCCCTATTTGGCTAATGAAGAAACTAAGGCACCTAGAGGTTACATGGGTAATTAGTTGGAAAGTGAGCATTCATCCTGGCTCCCCAGAGAATGCTCATGAGCTCTTTTACACCAGCTTCACAACAGAAAGATGACCCAGTGTCTTGAAATTGGAGATTCTTCATGGGAGCTTTAATTATAGCTGACCAGAACAACCCAGTGGTGTGTGTGTATATGTGTGTGTGTGTGTTCTGTCTGCCTGCTGGTCTATCTATCATCTGTAATTTTCTTCTTCTTAAAGATACCTTCCTTATGTAGGCAAGTAGAAGTTGTGGCCAGGCTGCTTTCTTGAGCAACAGATAGATGTTAAAAGAAACACAACATTCCCCACCGAGTACTTTCTGGTAAACAGACCTGACTTAAAGCTGACTGAGCCCAGCACTTTCCACTGGTCTACCACACAAGTCCCCTGTCCTTTCAGGTACAAGGGATTCCTGATCTAGGGCTGCAGACTGGTCATGATGACCTTGAACATGCACTTTTAAAAAATGGGGAGCTCCAGTGGCTCACCTCTGTAATCCTAGCTAATTGGGAAGCTGAGAACAGAAGAACAAGGTTGAAAGCCTGCTTAGGCATAAAAGTTTGTGATTCCTTCTCTACCTACATGATGAGCACAGACATGCAAACCCATATCCCAAGCTACTGGAGGCGGACACTGGGCGTATTGTGGAAGCGGGCCATCAAGGCAGAGAAGTCCACAAGACTTTGTCTCTGTGGTGGAAGCGGGCCATGGTGGTGGTCACTTGTGAACCTAGTGGTGACGAGAAGCCCAAATGTAGGAAGATCATGGCTCAGGTGTGGACAGGGCCAGGAGACCCTGTCCTAGAAATAACCAGAGGAAAACAGCAGGATGGCACCAGCCTACCAGGTGAGAGGCCCTGAGTAAAAGAGGCGGGGTGTGCCAAGCACCAGTGGCTCTCGCCTGTAATCCTAGCTACTCAGGAGGCTGAGATCTGAGGATCGAGGTTCAAAGACAGCCTGGGAAGGAAAGGCTGTGAGACTCTTACCTCTAACTAACCATCAAAAAACCAGAAGTGGTGCTGTGGCTCAAGTGGTAGAGCACTCTCCTTGAGCTGAAGAGCTTAGGCACAGTGCCCAGGCTCAAGAGTTCAAGCCCCATGACCGACATTAAAAAAAAAAAAAGAGATGGTGTGTGTGTGTGTGTGTGTTTCTAGCTGTGTGGGTGCAGGCAGGGGAGGAGGGCTGAGAAAGGATTTCCTAGGGCACCTCTGTATGCAGCCAGTGCCTAAATGTCTGAGTCTTGTTCCTACAGGCCAGGTTTTCTGTGTCACATCTCTCCACCCCAGGCGGTGGGTGCCTGCAAGAGCAATATACTCATATCCCCTTCATTTTGCTACTTTTCCTATCCCTTGGTTCCTTTTCTAATCTTTCACTTTTACTGGAAGTTCTTGACTTTGGGGTATGTGACAAATTCGTGAGGAGTTATGGGCTGGGTGGGGGTAGAAAATGGAAGAATGTTGATTTATCAGTGGAGTTAGTGTCCTTTATTATCAGGGATGAATACCATTTGTCTGGTAAGAATAAGATTAGGTGTCTATGTTAACAGCAAGTAGGAATTTACCAGTTTTTCCTGGAATCAAAGAATTAAGCAAGTAAAAGCAAATCCATCATAAAACTCCAAAGCAAGGGAAAAAAAAATCCAACAGAAAATGCCATTCTGTTCATACTGACAGCCTGTAGGAGAAATTTCAAAAATACTCCTCAAAGGGCCAAGCAGCAGGCCTCCCATTTAAGCCTTGCAACTGTTGTAGGCTGTCTCTCTCTAACATACCACTTTGAAATCTTATCCTTGTTATCCAGAATGATCAAATGCTTTCTCTTGCTGTCTCTCATTTTGTGGTCCTGAATAGAACTGCTTTTGTTCTCCAGTAGGGCACAGCTTTAGTGTCCCCACACTCGGGCAAAGTATTGACGCAAGCCAGCAGTATTCTTGGATCTGCCTTTCTCCTTTGTCTCTTTTTGTCTGAGTCTAAAGAGATCACTTTTCAGAAAGCCATTTGGGGTTTCTAGGTTGGGGTGGATGCTTTCTAGTGGTCTTTTGGAGGGGAAGGGGTTTCTTTGTTCTACCTCCCACAGTGTCTGGGTGGAGGTTTGGCATGATTACCAGTAAGGGTATAGTTTTCCAGATGACTCTTGTTAAAATGCACTCAGAAGAACTTCCCCCCACTCCATTTTGTTTCCAAAGTCAATTTATTGAATATTAAGTTGTAAAGCCAATGATAGACTTTTAATGAAAAATATCCTGTATCACTCGACTTAAAAGAACAAAAATACCCCTTTAGAAACACTGCTTTGAAAAATAATAAACATTAACTTTACACACAACAGTCCTTTCTTAAGCTTTATTTAAGAAATCGAGTACTATATAGTTCAATATATATAAGACACATCCAGTATTGTGTTCCTGATAGCAAGTGCATAGATTTTGTTATGATAATCATTTTCACTCGATATAAATACGTTTCATGGTCACATGAAGATAATATTCCCAGTGATTCTGCCCAAGCATGAGAGGAGAAAACAGAACACAGCAAAAATAGTGAACTACAACAGAAATGGAAAAACAAAAACAGCAAATTAGCAGAACAGTCGATTCCTGATAAGTGAATAAGCTGATTGTTTGGTCACAATGTTTTATTCACTTATCAGGAATGATTCACAGCACACTTATGTTTACTGTGTTTCCTAGCCTGCTAGTTGAGTCCAAGCCCATGGATTGCACACAATTGCTGGGGGCCAAGCAGGCGTGTGGCTTCCATCAGCAAGGAACTGATGTTTCTGTGGCTTCCCAAGGTGGTCTGTTCATGGCAGACAGACCTTGCTTATACTGCCATGGTGTCTTACAGAATCAAGATGACACATTTAAGCAGGGACCAACTTTATAGTCATAAATGCTTAAAGGAACTAGCATTTTTGTACTCTTCTTTGGAGAATTACTTTGTTGTTTTTGAAAAAACAACAAAAACTGGCTTTGTCTTTCCCTTTATTTACATTTTGCCTTGTGCCAAATGTTGGTTTTATTTACTTATACATTTAAAAAAGAAACACTTGCATCTTGGAAAGAATTTGATCATTCTCTTTCCCCAATCTTCCCTCCCTCGTGCCACCCCCTCCCTCCCAGAAAAGAGAAACACATCCTTAGCCCTCTTCCCCCACTAATATAAACAGTGGGTTTTCAGAGGCACACTGATGAAGGCTAGAGATTTAGAACAGAAATGTCTGCAGTAGTCAGCTCTGATCTGTACAGATTTGGGGTTGGTGAGATTACTATCACTGAGGTGTCTAGCGTTCCAGGGAGAGAGCCACCTTTCCTCCACCTCACCAGGCCACTCCCTCTCTTGCCAACCTGACTAGAGTACAATCTTGGGACCAGAAGGGAGCTGAAACCAGAGGGAGGAGAGCTTAAGCACCTGCAGGGAGAAAACTCATTGGCACCAGGTGCTCTGTGGCCTGCAGCAGGCAGAGCTTATGTGTCAGGAAAGTTGGAAGGAGCTAGAAGACATAGGGAGCAAACATTGGCGGACTCTTTTAAGAGCACTTTAAGAGCAGTCTGATTCCTGAGCAGAGGAATGGGCAGAGGCCTGTGGCTTGATGGAGGGGGCATGTAAAGGATAGGCAGGTCCTCTTTGTGATCTCTGGCGTTGACGGACAGTGGAAACACAGCTTACTCATGTGTTCATGCAGAAGGGAGTGTGGATCTGTATGATGTTGTGACTTTGGCATCAGGGACTTGAGCAAGGAGAGGCGCCCCCCCACCTGGCTCCAGACTGAGGAGAACTTCCTTTTGAGCACTTGGATATTCTTCTGTTAGTTTTAATAATTAAAGCTGCTGCTGGATTCGGTGAACTTGCAAAAGTAAATGTAAATGCCTTTTCTATATGTATCTATTGATGGACAGAACACAGAGACTTACTTTTCCTTTTCTTGAGAGGTTGCCACCTTTGAAAAGGAGATCATTTTCTAAGAGCTTTGGACTTGGGGGTAGACAGAAGGACCCCCTCCCCTCCAGGTCTGTGGTTTTTCCTCTTAAGGTTGTAGTAGCAGATTTTAGTGAGCCTTAGGAGGTGTAATGTACGTGTGTGCTCCACCTTCATGGGGAAGAAGGGACGGGAGGTGTTAGAATAAATGAACCTGTGTGGTCAAGACTGTGAAATGTCTCAGCAAACACGCCTCAGGAGGCTGTTACTTAGTACTTAGGTGAACCATAGGAGAAAATGATCAGTCTTAGAAGCAGTAGAGAATGTGGTTGTACATAAATCAAAGGTATCTGGGTGTGCAGTTTCCTCTTTCCCCAAATCAGATATTCACTTAGGTGGAATCGACTGTATCTTTTTACACAACATATAGAAAAAAAACATACGTGAAACAGTGAGGTGTGTAGATGCATCACCAACACAGAATGACTACCAACAATACAACACGCAGAGAGAGAAACAAGTATTAGGAAAATGGTTTAATATTGGAGACAGAAGCAAAAAACCGCATCACACAATAACATACATTACAAAAATAAGTTTGACTGTTTCAACTACACGGTTATGTTCACAATGAGGACAGAAGAATCAGAAAAAACTTTGATCTAAACAGCAAAAAAGCAAACCCCTAAAGTTTAACTAATACATTTATCCACTTAAAGAGACTGAGTACTTCTAAATCTAATTACCTTATTGTGTAACTGCACAATACAGAATAAAAAGTGAAACTTACCGCTGTATTTTAAGACAAAATTCTAATGCTAGATATAAGCAAAGGGGAAAAAAAAAATCAAGCCAAAGTTTTTAAGTCTCAAAAGAACTTTCTTTCTATCGACCAGAAATCAAACTTGAAATCAGTCATTGTCAGGTGGCCACAGAGTTAAGCCACAGAAATTTCCATTTTTTTAATCTCCAGTATAAAAAGTTCCACTGGTACAAAATGCATAAGTACAATCAGTTGTAGAAATAGGAAAGCCTGCATTTTTTTGGCTCAAATTCCATCAAACAACAAAATCCAAATGCATCAATAAAACAGAAACAATACTCAAATGGTCTTACAGTTTCCACTATGTTGCATTAACTTTGGCTTTTCTCAGACAATATTTAAAAACTACTTTGTAATTCTAAACAAAATGATATTATTAATCTACAAACAACAATTTTCACAGCACAAAAACACAAATACAGTTTTTGTATGACATTATTCAAAAAGTTAATGAAACTACAGTTTTTTTTTAAGATTTTATTTCTTTTTTAATTAGCACTTAAGATAATAAAAACAAACAGTAAAATGATTCCAGAGTAGCACAAGCCAAAGAACTATAACCCCTATGGTGAAAGAAAGAGGAACTTGTTACGCCTTTGAGGACTGCCACTTTACCACAATTCTCTAATTTAGTTTAAAAATGACTATTTCTACACTTGATTTTTTTAAAAAAGCAGTTTCCCTGTGTTTTGTCTTCTGGCACAGGCCCTTTGCACCCTTGCAGCCTTTTCCTTTTGATACTAAAAGATAAAAGGACAATTTGTCTCTGAGGAGGGTTATTTTTCTAACAATGAAATGTGCAAAGACCAAACAAAACAAACAAACAAAAAATTCCCCCCATGTGTACTGTCTTGATTGCCTGCAAAAATCAAATGCTCAAGTAGAAGTGCCCACCCCGCACCTGTCAACTGTACTTGGGTTTCCTCCGGGGGAGATGCAGGTGAGTTAAGAGGGTGGTTTGCTTCAGTGAAAAATATGAGAAAAGAGTTTTTGAGATCTATGTAATTGATAAATGACTAGATTTGATTGCTAATTTTGTGTTTCTATGTGTGTATCTACACTCCACCATCTATTAGGTATATGAGAGACACATGTGAGATCACTTTTGTTACTAAGCTGAGTGCTGCAGGAAGTACAAAATAGCCCTCAAAGGATGAAGGAAGGCCCCGGCAGTAGTAAACACGTGTGAGGATAGTACAAATCATTTCATTAGAAGTGCATGTGCTATAAGAAGGAAACTTTTTTTTTTTTTTTGCATCATTAGAGGCTAATCCTTTCCATCCCAAGGCTATCACATCCACACATATTAAACCAAACAGGGTGGGTGAGCAGGAAAAGAGAGCTGAGACCAAGATGCTTCCGGGGCCTGCTTTCAGGAAAGCTGGAGTTCCTGTTGGGGCTGTAGATATGCCCTTAACGTTTGTCAACTGTTTGTACAGTCAAAGTCAGAGTACACTTTAAAAAGTGGCTAAGTACCTGTGGTGAAGCATCAAGCTCTGCTTACATGGCCAGTCCCCACGTATGCTCCGTTAAACTAGAAAACTCAAAAGGCAGGGGCAGGACCAAGAGCTTCTCACTGCAGACACCAGGCGTGATCACGCAGCTGCACCCATGGGGTCAGGGCCCGCATCACAATGGCTGACTGAACACTTAGGAGTGTTCAGTGTTCAGTAAAAAAGTAAAATTTCTCAAAAAGACCATTTCCCTCCCCCACCCCCACCCTCCGAAGTCATTTACCTACAAGATGTACGAAAAATACCACTCAACAGAATCTCAGAAAGCTACCTACTGCCCCTCTGGGCTTGTCCAGTAGACTGTTGTTAATTTAAACTTGAGCGGAGCGCAGAACAAACATCAGGAATTCAAATTCCAGCAGCACATTAGGAAGTTAAAATAAAAGACCAGAAATAAAGAAGTTGGTATAGGAAAAAAATTAAGAGTGTTTTCCTCTCTTCAAATTTGTCTTGTGTCATTGTTTTGTCCTTTCCTTTCTGGGTTTCAATTGAAGGGCAAAATAATAATAATAAACTTAGAAGATGTGAGGGAAAAATTCCAAATTAGAAACACCCCCAAATAAACTGAAGTGATGACAGTATAAAAAGTTACCAACATTCCAGATAGCTCTGGGTAGAAAGGGTTAAAGTTCACAACTTTCTCACCTTAGAGGTTTCCATGTATTATGAAGAAAATACATTGTGAGGCTGCCTTCACAGCATTGATGTGCAGAGTGGTTAAAAAGTGAGACATGGGCACTTATACAATGTCTTACAAAAACATCATAGAGAAGTAACAAACAATAACAATTCCAGGCAACAAGACCACAGAATAGCAAGTTAACAAACTTTTAACCTTTTTTTTTAAATATTAGGGATTTATACAAAACACATAATAAAATACCCATGTTATCAAATTACTTCTCACAAGAAACACACTGAAGCTCTAGGAAGGAAGTACCTTTGGAATTTGGCACTATATATTTTCACTTTTTTTTCTTTGAAAGAAAGAAAAAAACATCACATTTTGCTGAACACAAACACATCTAAATAGTCCACACAAAAAAATGACATCAATGCTTCACAAGCCAACACAAAACTTATTCTGGAATAGGTTTTTGTTTTTTTTTTCCTCACATGAAATTATTTTTAAGCAAACAACTTTTTTTTGAAATTCTTTTTTGTTTTAAGTAAACCAATTCTAAACTTGTCTTATCGACAAAGAACATTAAGACCTTAAGACTCATGATGAAACCACAACTTAATTCACAGAAGCACCAACATAACACAGTTTACAGTAACCTTTCTCCTGTACATTGAAACAGTATAAAATATAGGTAATTTCATGTGCATTAAACCATGGATTGTCTAACTGTGAGTCAGTTCAGCAAAAGGTGACACAAATAGGTAGCATTTGCCCCAAAACAGGGTAAATATTTTTCTTATACTAATCTACAAAAAGTGGTTCTATATATATATCTTAATGAGAAAGTGAGCCACCTAAAATGGCCTTATCAAAAAACTTTACACTGCCTGAAAAATGTAAAAACTATTACAGACCTCTAGAGACTTAAAATCAGACAGTTTTTTTCTCAAACTGTTTTTGGAAGTAGTCTGTTAGAAACCAACATTCTGTGTCCCTGGACACATATTGCTATTGTTACCAGTGACCGGGAAGAATGCCAATCCCTGTATAATACTTTCAAGTCTGTTTTATGAAAAGAAAAAAAAGAAAAACATTTTTGCCACAGGTTTTTTTTTCTATAATTTGTCTAATAATTTCAGTCTTGCATGAAATGCAGCAATGTTTTTCACATTTGACTTCCCAGAATTCATAGCTAGGTGAGGTCACATGCAAATTTCAAAGGTCAAACTAGATCAAAGGTCAGTAGGAGAACCAAATATGATGTGAGGTCAGAAAGACATCAGAAACAATGACGGGACGATGAAACTTTTTTGAGACGCCACAGGGACATGCTAGGCAAACGATGAACTAACGGGCATGAAGATGTCTAGGGAAAAAACAAGGAAGAGTAAAAAGTTACACAGAATCTATGCAGCAGCAACAAAATCACTTTTAAGGGTGCAGGAGAAAAACTAATGCAAATCTTAGGTCTTTAGGGAGTCTATGAGCCATTCACATAATTTGCATTTCTTACACTCTTTTTTCCACAGCACAATGAAACCCCAAGAGAATCCATCTGGAGAGAGTGAGAGGGGATGGATTCCATGTGTTTTGGGGTGAGAGACTGGCAAGGGTCAGGGGAGAGGGTCCAGTTTCAACAAAGGTGACATATGGGGAAGTCAGACGACTGAACTGTAAACTAGATAATGGAAATTACAAACAAAATAATCAGACAGATACAAACAACGAGAGGATAAAGCATGAACTTTAGGTGTAGGGTTCAACGGCGACAAAAGCCCATTCCTAGAACAATTCCTCTAGAGACTACTTCAGAAGGTTCTAGCTAGACAGAGAACTGCTCTTTAGGTATCCAATAAGTTAACAATAGGCATAAATAACTTCCATTATTTCTGAGGCAGTAAAAATTTTGTATAAAAATAGAAATGCTTTTTTTACAAATAAAATTTACAGGCCTGTGGCTTTCTTTTTTATTTATGTATTATTTATGTATTTATTATTATTAAATTTATCTTTCAAGAAACATCAAGTATTTTCACTCATTTTTATTTTATTTTTAAACCCTGTAGCTTTAAGAAACAGATCTCTAAATCTTTTTTTACATTAATCCTTTCTAAAAACAAAAATAAAACAATAACAAAATAGACAACCAGTGTAATAATCTGACCAATGTCATGTTTCTTTGAACCCTAAAATAAAATCCTACTTATTAAAACAAACCGATGTAGTGGAAAGACGTTTTGTGTTGTTTTAAGTGCTTCTCCTGGCTTCTCCCTCTGCTAGGCCACCAACTCTACACGCTGGGGGCCCTCCAGAGGGGCGGGCGCGGACAAGGAGGGGTGAATTCTCCAGGCAGTGCTCTTGGGGCACCAGTGGTTTCAGAGTTAGAATTGCACATTAGCGTTTGTTTGCCTTTTTAAATTCTCAAGATGTCATTTATTTGTGTATGTTTTTCTTTAAAAAAGCAAAAATGGAAACAAAAAAAAAGTAAAAGGAGATTCAAATTGCAAAACAAAGGAAAATACAGTGGCACAACTGGAGGAGGAACTTAATAGAAACAAGGTAGCCCAAGTTTTAATTATGGCAAATGGGGTAGAGGGGATGGGTAGGGGAAAATGGAGGCCTTATTGTAAAAATAACTGTCTCTCTTGGTAAAAGTTGGCAATGTGGTCCTCCTCTTTAGGCCTTCCCTGTTGAGAACAGGCTGGCTCATGGGACTTACCCTAAGAAAGCTAAAATAAGAGCAGGGAGCCTCTGGGGTTAAGATCAGTAAGGTTTGCTGTCATTTTTGGAGCGCTTCAGCTGCACCTTCAAGCGTTTCATGCCGATCTGAAAGCCATTCATAGCCTGGATTGCAGCTTGTGCAGAGACTGGATTGTCATAGCTAACAAAACCTGGAAAACACAAAAGGGAAAGAGGTAGTCAAGATGGAAGGGAGCAGAGAAGGGGGATCAGGGATTTCGGGATTGGCTGACATAGTGCAACTGCAAGTGAGAATAGGTCCAGTCACATGGTCTCAGTTGAGCTCTGCTAGACTTAGGGTATGCCTCGAGTGTTAGGGGGAGCAAGGAAAATGTCCACCAAGGGAATGAAAGAGCTAGTCACAGTGATAATTTGTTAAGTATGACAAAACTTGTCAGAAAACTGAATCTCAAACTCACTTGTGAATGAATTTAGTCTCTTTAATGCTTTCAATTCACATTTATGCTTTAAAATCCATTAGAGTTCTTTTAGAAAAAAATTCCAGGTACATAAATAAGCACTTGTCATTTAAGCAGTGTCATCAATATTACAGGGCTCAATGGCCTCCCAGAAAACTCACATATCTCAACCGAGTGAGCATAAAGGCAGGAGAGTTAAGGGAGAGGCTGGATAACAATGTGTGCAAACTCCCAAGACCATGACTGTCTTTCAGGCCAAATTTTGTATACAGAGACATATATACCCACAGACAGAGTCCACACCTGTTTAGCTATAGGATGAGTTGTTTAGTGAATACACTGAATTAGAAAAAAAACCTGAGTTTTAACATCCTGTAGTTACTACTGAGACAGAAAAGCCTTTTTCTCTGGCTCAGGAGCAGCTGTCTCAGCAAATTCTCAGTATGTTTGTATGTAATAACAACCATATTCTGTTTTTCAGAGACAAAATGATGCTCGGTATGTTCTCTCAGAAACAGGAATTCTCATATGTAGTTTAACAATAGAGGGTAAGGCCTAAGGCAGGGTACAGGCAAAGCTTTCGTTAATGCTGAGGTAAGTGGTGAGCTTACACAGTTCCTATTGACTTTAGGTGTTGAAAGAAAACTATTATTCAGATTTAATTTCAGTTCTGAACATCAGCTGTTCAGAAGGTTATGTACTAAGGATCTCCATATGCTACTGAAGTTTAAAGAGAAAATTCCATTACAAACAAGAAAAGGACATATATACTTTGAGAAGAGTTCTCAGCCAATAAAAATAAAAATAAAAAATTTAACTCCCAATACATATAGTTTCAAACCCAAGATTTTTGCTCTAATTTTATTTATTTTCTCTTTTCTCCTGCTCTTTATCCAGAAGTAGTAAGATGATTAAAGAATGGAAATGGATCAAGAGTGAGAGGAATAACAAAACTGGGTAAGAAGAATGATGAAAGAAATGGGTATCATTTAATGACTAGCAATCTAGTAACTGGTGGCATGAAGAAACTAGGCTGTATCACTGAGAAACTAGGGATGCAAGGTTTTTTTTTAAATAAAAATGGAAAATACAGCCCCTAATGCCAAATAACTGTCTGTAGATTCTCACAGCTATAGCTTATTGTATTGGTTAAAGAAATCTGTGAACTAATAGGGTGTCCTATCATAAGTTGGTACTGGGGACTGAATTTGTCCACAGGCATGCTAGGCAAGTACTCTACCATTTGAGCCACACTGTAGATCTGGGGTAGTCCCCTCACAAGGTCCCTATTCCAGTTTCCAAATAAGCTTAGGATTATTGAGCTATGAGAAATATAAAAAGTCTGTCCCAAAGCCTTGTGTGAGAGGTGAGCTCACCCTCATACACATGTACACATACTGTGCAACAACTTGTTTTCTATTTCAGTCATGGTCCATTACAGAGGGCTTTATAATAGGTTCCAGCGCAGTAGCAGGAGTATAATAGGTTCAGGTGGATACCTTTCCACCGGGGTAAAAATAGTGCCTTGAAATGGTTGACTTACTAATTCCTTAAACCAGCAAGGCTCGGACTTCCCAGGACGATGGCACAAATTAGAAATGAAAATGTATTAGGAGCTAAAAAATTTTTTCCTGGGCTTCTGAGTTTTTAGCTATCTGAGAACCACTCTATCTTAGATGTGTTTTTCTTTATAACATACACTTGTATGTATTTTTTCTAGTCCATATCTACCTTATGGTATCTTTACTGTCTACTACCAACAAGGCCAACCAGGACAAAAAGTTAGTAAGACTCCATCTCAGTTAACAAGCTGGTATAGTAATAATGTAGGTGTAGGTGAGAGATTTATGGTCTTACCTGAAAAATAACTAGAGCAAAAACAGGGCTGGGGCATGACTCAAAGAGTACCTAGCAAGGGCAAGGCCTTCAACCTAAGTGCCACCAAAAGAACCCCCTCCCCCAACAGACAAGAAACCCCAACCCATCCTCAAACAATATAACAGCACATGATTGAGTCTTCTGTACTCAGGAAGCAAAACAAATGCCACAGGAAGCAGCTGCTTAGGACATGGAAAACTGAGGTTTCCAGTGTTTGGATGACAGTTACACACTGCTGTGTGCTCTATCCATAAAGCCCCTGGCCAGCCTTACAATGCCATCAATATTGTATGAAGCCAGGAACATCTGGGTCTGTGAAGCTGCAATGTGGCAGAAGCTGACCACATCCATGTCATAATTTGTACAAATGTATGGATACTACAGTCTTTGTATCATCAACATTTGTAAGGTAGTTAAAATCTTACGGCTTCGTGAAACAGCTACTACTCTAAAATGAAACGTAATTTTTTTTTTTTTGGTCAATTGTGGGGCTTGAACTCTGGGCTTGGGCGCTGTCCCTATGCTCTTCAGCTCAAGGCGAGCGCTCTACCGCTTGAGCCATAACACCACTTACGGTTTTCTAGTGGTTAAATGGAGATAAGTCTCACGGATTTTTCTGCCCGGGCTGGCTTTGAACTGTGATCCTCAGATCTCAGCCTCCTCAGTAGCTAGGATTACAGGCGTGAGCCACAGGCGCCCAGCTGAAAGGTAATTATATATATATATATATATACACACACACACATATATATATATATATATAAATGCATATATATGCCACTTAATTGTACAGCTTTGAATATTACCTAATGAAAGGGAAATTCCCAGATTCCCTTTTTATATGGCCCTTCAGCTTTATTTGATGAAACAACTTCACTCAAATCTGTTTATGTGGGTCCAGAAAAATCAGGAAATGCCGTCACACAGATAGGTCCTATTCTGACTCCTCACTCAGAAACCTACTGCAAAATTCTAACTAGGTTTCTTTTGCATACCAAAGCACTTGCTCAGATTGGTCTGTTTATCAATGAAGACTTTAGCAGAGATAACATTTCCAAAAGGCATGAACATCTGCAGAATGTCCTGGTCGCCAAACTCCTGTGGAAGGTGGTAAATAAAGAGGTTTGCCCCCTCTGGACCTAAAGGGAAGAAAAAATCAGAGTAAGGTTCCCCTCAAGTCTGAGTTTCCAAAGCCTCCTCTTAGGAACACTTTAATAGGCAGACTAAGCATTCTGCTCTCTGTTATAAAAGAAAAAAAAACAAAACCAAAAAACAAAACAGATGGATAAATGTCAAGTGCTGACTGGCATGTTATTCAAGAAAGCACTCATCCTTCAGATTTTTCTAATTTCCAGAGGGATATTGGCTATGAATAGCTTTCTTTTCACAGTCTTCTCTGTTCCACAAATATTGATGCCCATCAGCACAATCAAGTTCTCTTCATGGGGTGAACATGGTAATAGTAGGCAGGATAGGGCAGGGAATCTAGCCATGGGTTTTTCCCTGGGTGGCCATGCTTTTCTCGGATGTGTACTCTCAAAGGAGGAGGAATGTTCTGTGTATTCTAAAAAAAATTGTAGCAATTTAGAATAATGAATCTGGCAGTCATGCTACTCAGTTTTCTCAGTCATTTGCCCACTATCCAGCCAGTTTTGATTTGCTAAATCTCTTAACACAGGGCAATAATCATCTTTATTTGAAATGACTGGCAATGAGTCAACACATGGAGAGAAAAGGTAGCTAAGAGTCTCACAACTTTGGTAGAATTGTACTGCTGGGAATTCACCTTGGAAAATGGATAAGGTGGATGAAGAATCTTCTCAAAGACATTGATCTAAGCTAAGTTCTTGCTTTTACCCATCATTTCCCAGAAAACACTAGAAACGAAGGCAGAATAAGGAAGATCTTAAGCTATACTAATTGGAGGGGGATAAACTCTTAAGTTTCAATCTCTATTTTACTCTCTGAATTTAGACATTCATCATCTCTCTGAAACTTACAAGAAGGGAACTAAAGAACTGGACAAAGAACAGGGCAGAGATGCCACTTGGACAATGGGAAGTAAGAGAGCTCACAGAACTGGGAAGTAACTCTGCGTCTGGCTCAAAGAGCTGCAGCTGTCTTTCAAGGGAGAGGAACCAGGTCTACCCCATTCCACTGTGAAGCTTCGGGAAAACAGGCTGCAAAGGATTCCCCAGGGATGGGAAAAAGGTATCTGTGTGTGGGATGAAGAAAAATAAAATGGGGATAAAAAGAAGCTTTGTAAGAAGTGACTAAACCTTTTTGCAAAGAATGTCCAACCAACTTTCTTTTACTGCCCCTACAAAGTAAGTCACAAAAAATGATGTACATTTTTACTGAGAAAACTTCGTGAGGCAAAACTTTTTGAGACACAGTGTTCCTCATTTAAAAAGGCACCTATTAAAAATGCACTTATACCACTCCTTTAACTGTCTACATCCAGTGCAAGGGAGAGTTATGTTTTGAATGGACATTAACTAAAGCCTACTGAGACCCTGGTTTTATATGAATGGATGCAAAAACCAAAACACTGGAAATGGATGTTTTGTTGTAAGTGCCACTGTGCCAAGTACATCCTTTGCTATCTATCTATCTCTCAAATTGGTACCACCCAATTTAATGTTCCCCTTAAATAAAAGACCTAAAAGAACAGATGAGGATTAATGGGACTCGATTGCAAAGCCTGAGTAGATCATACCATTTTAATGCCCAGGACAGATTATGTATTTGACTTAATATCCTGTTATTCCAGAATGCTGTGTTTTCTGTCTGAATCTTGGCCAGAGATAGCCAGAAAAGCCAGATGTAGCTTTGTCTTCCTGCCTATCATTTCCCTAGGGTGATGATCTCTCTGGCTCCCTGTCCCCCAATGTCCTATTTTTTCATCATCCCAAATCAGATTTTTCAAATCCCTTTAATTTTTAAAATTAAAATGAGACTAGGTAATTTCATGTGCAGAACCTTTCTTATGTGTATCAGGCTGTTGATACCAAAATAATAATCTCTTCTCTCAATTCCCTTTTTGAGAATTCCAACTGGAGTCACCTTCTTCTTTATCTCTACCAAAAAAAACCAAAAAACAAAAAACAAAACCCAAAACCAAACCTCTCCACAAGTCATTCTTTCCTCTGATTTCTCCTAGCACATGTCATAGTAGCTGGGGAAGGCTTTCTGTTACACTGCTCATGTCACATGCTCTGTATTCTCAAAGGGCACTTGATGTAGCACAAATACTTTGGAAGGACAAAGCTGTACTCAACACCAGCACTGACTGGCGCTTTGCTGGGAAGCACTCACTACCTATGTGTGACTTGCTTCCTTCAAGTAAAGGGAGATGGGAAGGTATGAAAAGTGGTCAGACAAGAATGACAAACATTGGGCGGCTATAATCTTTTGGGAAATTTAGCTGGAGAAAAACCAAACCATTACTTTGCAAAGCTAGACTGGCTCTTGTTCCCATGGAGGGAAAGTACACCACGTATGTGACTAAATATCTCAGGTTGCCTTTCAATTCTGTCTAAAGGATAGAACTGTTGAGCAGGAAGTCTACTAATGTATTTAGTATTTGAATTCATTTTTTCTCCTCTTCCTGGTATAATTTGCCTTTGAAATAACATCCTTCTTAAGCTACTATTAGGTGGGTTAGAATCTTGAGCTATGTTAATGGGGTGAGAGGGTAATCAAAAGAGACATATGAGAAGGAGAGATGATGAAATCCAACAAAACAGAACTCATCATTGCCACCAAACATAAACCCTAAACCAAGCTACCATGATACTGGGAGTTCAAAGACTTGGAGTGATTTTGAGTTGACTATATATGTATATAAAATATCTATCATATTATATATATATATATTTGCCAGTCCTGGGGTTTGAACTCAGGGCCTGGGCTCTGTCCCTGAGCCTCTCTGTGCTCAAGGCTAGTGCTCTACTTGAGCCACACCACCACTTCTGGCCTTTTCTGTTTATATGGTATTGAGGAATTGAACCCAGGGCTTCATGCATGCTAGGCAAGCACTCTACCACTAAGCCACATTCCCAGCCTGGAAATAATATGTTTCACATTTGTAAAGCTTTAAAACTCAACACAAAGAAATTTAGGGCAGTGGTCTGGGTGAAGCAGTTCAGAAGAACGCTTCAGGGCCCAGTAGTAGTTCTTAAACTACTGCTTTAAGGCTATGCTAGATAACCATGAGGCGACCGGCATTCTCTTCTCTAAAGCCTTGTGGGAGAGATAGCTTTGTGGGTTCTGTCTCAGTGTATCATTTCTCAGGATCTCTCCTGCCCTGTCTTGTCACTGTAGTAGTCAGATGCCAAGGGGACCAAATAAACACATGCTTTTCTTGGGGGAAGACCTGGGGTGCTTATGATGCACCATCTCTTTTGCATGCCTGGTGAACTACAGTTGTCTGAACATTTGAGCACACTTAAAAATCCTGCAAATAACTGTCACAGTTGGAGTGTTGAAAAAGAACATAGCTTCCTATATTTTTCATTTAAAATTGGTTATCAATCCACCCCCTTTTAAGAAAAGAGTATCTTTTGTGTCGCCTTAAAAATCTTCACTGCGTAAAACTATTTTATTTCTTACAAGAACACTGTCTTTAAAGTTGAAATTTTCAAATAAAAGCAGTCTGAAACCATGGAGTGAGGGCAAAGGAGGAAGAAATTTATTTGGATTAGGTCACTAACCATTTTGTCATCAGCTTTAAGCTGTTCTTAGTATTAACTTCTGAAGTTCACTTTGCCCTGTTGTAGGGAAACAAGTAATCAACCACTTGCTTGCTTCCCCAGGATCCCCAGTTAAACAGAGAACAAGTCACTCCCAGCAGTGGATTTCATCACTAGTGTAGGGACCACTGCCTGCAAAGGGGTGGCCACAAAACCACAGAGCACATGGATGTGAGAATTGGGGACTGCAGGAGAGGCGCTTTACCTTCTATTGCTTAGGGAGAAGCTGGTGGACTCTGCTGATTTGAGAGAGGGAGGTTCCTGGCAGTTTTTTAATGGCAGCAGCTAATAAGTGCTTATAATGGGTGAGAACTTCATCTTAAGAGACGGATGAAAAATTGAAAGATGCATACAAGATCAGAAGACTGGAATAAAAGGCCAATGCTTCCAGGTTTGTTTTAAAATAAGAATACTAGTAACTAAACAATTGACTTCTCTATGGCAGTAATTTGCTCTAGCATCTTCTCAGTGTGCTCTAAAGGCAAGTGCAGGTCAGGCTGGTCTTGCCCCGAGCCCCAGGCAGGTACCTACCTTCCTTCTGGCTGCCCGCAGCGCTCTGCTGTTGCAGCAAGCTCTGGCTGTACAGAGTGGGCAGTGCGGCTGCCGCATACTGCTGAATTCCTGAGTAGGCCTGGGTGAGGGCGTCCATGGTGCCAGCTGTGCCATTCGTCAAGCCTGTGGCGCCAAGTCCTCCATTCAGAGCCGCCATACCTGAGAGCATTTGAGCAACTTTACAAAAAACCCAACAATAGAGAAGAGAAATAGCACTTATTCATTAGTGCTTTCCAAAGGAAGTTAGAGAATCATTTTACACAAGTACAACATCAAGTGCATGCAGCTAGCACACTGAGTAAGCCAACAGAAAACCAAAAAACGAAGCCATGAAGAAATAAATGATAACAATGGGCAAAAAAGACCTAAGCAATGATAACTGTCAGTCCTTAGACCAGTGATCCAAATTCTCTGAGGCACTACATGTAAGACAGTACACCTTCATTCCATGCAGCGTGCTGCTGGCAAGTACCATTTTTACCTTTGTGAAACAAATGCCTTCTACTTCTCAGAGCCTAGCAGCTCGTGAGAGAATATTAGTGGCAGAGGAATGTGAAATCTATGTACTTAAATCCATTTATTGGGCTCTTTGAGGAGTCACTGGATAGTTCAAAGGGGTTAAGGAGGCAAGGGTAAAACTTTCTCCTTAAGCCATAGGATGAGGACAATGGTAAAATACTGGTTTTACACCAGTGAGGCAGTAGTGCTATTATTTTTTTCTAACCAGGGGAAGGACGCTGTCAGGCATCAGGACAGCTAGTTGATTTAGAGTCAAGGAAGAGGAGGAAATGGGTATTTCCCATAAACCACAGAGAACTCAAGCCACTTATTACCTAGCAAAGGCACACAAGTGCATAACATGCACTTACACAAAGTCAGTGCCCAGGTAATTGTTTTCTACAAATCAAAGAGTATCATGTTTTCTAGCCATCTTCACGCCATGTCTGGAAGGTGGATTCTGGCTATTAGCCAATGGGAACTGCAGGTTAACCCGTTGTTCTTTTGATTCTTTGGCTGCAGATTATGCCACATTTTCCTTGAGTAATGAGCCAAAATAAGCAATGCTTCACAGAATGTTAACTTTCAATAGGAACTCAGGAAATGGAAGAGAGGACACCACAATTGCCTTGGTTCTATCTATCTATCTATCTATCTATCTATCTATCTATCTATCTATCTATCTATCTATCTATCTATCTATCTATCCTCTTAATTTTTTTTAAAGAATATTTTTGTGCCAATACTGGGGTTTAAACTCAAGGCCTCACTCCCTGGCTCTGCAGTTTCCAAGCTCTGCTGAACACCACTTAAAGCCATTTCTCAAGTTTTTTTTTTTTTTAAGGTGGGGGGAATGGGAGAAAATGATGGCGGGGCTAACACTGTTTAAAAGAAATGTACTCATTACTTTACTTAGGTACCTTGTAACCCCTCTGCATATCACCTTTACAATAAAATTTTAAAAACAAACAAACAGAACTACTCAGATCTCAGCCTTCTGAGTAGCTAGGATTACAGAGCTTGGCTTAAATTTTTATTTTGAGGGAATCTTTTTCTTTCTTAACCTTCTTTTTCCTTCCTTCCTTTCTTTCTTTCTTGTTGGTACAAATAAGTACTGTTTAAAGAGATTAGTAATAGTTTGTCTTCTTACTTAGCCTACCTCAGGCACAAACTAATCACATTTACCTCACTGTCTCTTTTCTTTGTATTCATCCTGGATTATTATGACTGACAAAGAGTAGAGGAGTAATTTCTCTTATTTTACCTTTGTTGGTGCACCTCTGAAAAGGACCTTAAGTCTGTTAACAGCTGATGATCAAATGGGATCAGCCTTCTGGAAACTCAAATTCCTGTATCAGTGGAAACTGAAAGCCAGAAGTGACTTCTTGGCAAAGTGTGTAGTTCTAAATGTGCATGACAGCCTACAGAGCGATGTGTGGCAGAGCTGGGTGAAGGCCTAAGCTCCATTCTCATATCACAGTTGTCAGATGGTGACCTTCTCACAGAAGCCTTGCAGGAATGCCTTCCTGTGCTCCGCATTCTCTGAGACTTGGCTTTTCTGGGGGGCTTGTTGTCACTGGTACCCGAGCTCCCTTCCCTCTGGTTTTAGGTCTCTTTTTATTGTCCAGGTTTGGAGGATTCTCTTAACTCTCTTGCCAACTTTGTTTCATACAGAAAGAGAATCAACTTCTTTCTCCTGAAGTATTGTAAAGATGTTTCAGGACTAAGAGAATTCTTGTGAGGCTTAAAGCTTTAGCAGTGTCCTCTCTCCTTCCTGTTTCAGAGTTGGCTGTGTTTGGATTGAACCTTGGGGGGGGGGGGAGAAGGAGGGTATGTTCTTTGAGCAGTTCTGTTTGCTTCTGCTAGTGTCATTCATGTGTAAGATAGTTATGGCTGGCCTTAAGCAGACAGGAGAGAAGGTGAGGGAAGTGGCAGAGAGGCAACAAGTAAATGGGCTGTAGTGCCAGAGGGAGGACTAGTCAGGGACCTGTGCATGTAAGAAACACAGGGCTTGTTCTTTCTAGCCTGTGGCTTTTTTTCTCTATGATGTAGCCTTAAAACTTTTAATAAGTACTAATATTATGAATATTTAAACCCCAAATTATCTTGGAAAATCTGGGGTGAGATGTTTACCAAATCCAGGGTAATATAAGTAATGGATTATATAGCAGAATAAAGATTTCAATTTCAAGTAGTGATTCCTGGGAATTACCTGGTATCAGAGATAAAACTTGTAAATTCAACTATAGGTATCTAAAAGTCTTGAACAACAGACAAGGTTTGAGACAATTGCAAAAAATGCTTCCACTTCAAAAAGAACAGGGTTCTTCTTTAAAAAGGTCAAATGGCTTGATGATCTCCTATTTATTCTAGATTTGCAGATGAGAAAGGCTGGAAGAAAATGACAGAAGTGGCAAAGTTCTGTGAGGGAGGGCTCGTTAATTGGTTTGACAATATGATCAGCTTGTGGTCTGATTACTGAGTCCTCTACCTTCATCATTCTAGCATCCCTAAACTGACAGACATACCCATAAATATGAGCATTTGGGGGCACTATAGAGATGATACCGCAGAGTAGAATCAGGAGCAGTGCAGACTGCATGCAAGCCACTGCATCAGGTAACAAACCTGAGAAAACATAGGAGCACATTCTTGCCTTTTTTTCTTTAGTATACAACCTATTTTGGGGGCTTGGTTTTTCCTTTGTATAGATGAGGGACATACTTCTAAGCTACAAGCTACTAAGTGAGAATTAAGTGTCAGATGTATGGGGTCAGAGTAGATGGATGAGCACAATTAGTGGCACATTTACATATGCCCCATATTAATAAGGTAACACATATGTGCTATGTACCTGTGTGAGTAAGAATATGGATTAAAACATTTCACAATGCAAGTTAAGAGTGAAAAGTCACACTAATGTGACCAAAGCCTCTTTTACTTTTTCTGCTTCACATAAGATAGTTTTATAAGTACTTTTTGCCAGGTGTTTGTGGTTGGTTATATTCAACCAATTATAATTTTAAGCACTGTGCAGTAAGCCACTTAGAAAAATTAATGCAGTTGAAACAAGAAAAAATTAGGTTGTACTTAACTTACATTTCAACATACCAAATCAGATACAGATTATTTGTTGAGCATAACTATTTGGTGAGTATATAAACACAAAGCACTTTATCTTAGTGCAGATATTAATATACAAAACATGCCTAGGGAACCCTCAAGTAACCCAGAGGTGAAAAGTCTTGAATTATTCATGTTCTTTCTTCTAATCTTGCTGATTCATGTTTTATCTTTAGGGAGGAGCAGTACTGTTACTTAGCCCCTCCATTCATTAGGGAATAGGAAAGGAGGAGTATCTGAGAGGATACTCCATTCCTGGAAGGTTTTTCCCTTGCCACTTTGAGACAAGTAGCAAATATTAGCTCCAAATCAATGTTGAGATTGTAACAAGATCTCTGTAGTAGTGACACCAAACGAGAAAGAACATATTTCCATTTGTGCATGATTTATTTTTTTAAAAACATTTTTTTGTTCATCCTGGTTGGTAGGGATTATGTGAAATTTTTTCTTTGTTAAACCAAATTAAACAATTTAAGCTAGCTGTCCTTGCCAGAGCAAAATTTGAATAAGACCTCACACAATAACTAGTTATGGTTCCTCTACCATTCAATGAAGTCCCCCTTGGGTCCTCACACTAAGGATGGGAAAAGTCCAGCAACATACAACAGAGTCAGGTAGAGAGGACACAGACGAGGACACACAAACAGCAATCATGAGCACGTGCTGAGGAGGACAACCATCCCACTGGCCTGATACTCTGCAGACCAAGGACAGGCAGGCGATCAAATCAAAGTCCTTGTTTGAGGGGAACTAGGTCCTGGGGCAAGAGAAGCAGCATGAGGGGATGTGTACGAGCACACACATCCAACCTAGGTGAAGGACAGGGTCAGAAAGGAGCTGTACCAGAAACGGGAGTTAAGTGACAGCCACGAGACTTCTATGGGGCTGCTGAAAAATGTAAAAACTAGAGGCAGTTTTAACTGGAGTACAACATGCTGGCTGTCATGTGGTTACCAGACTATGAATGGTATGTTAATCTACAGCCATCACATTTGGGAGCAAAATGTTTTTTTCTTTTCTTTATGGCAGATCAAACTCAATTCTAAGTTTTTGTTTGGTTTTCCCAGAGATCTGAAAAGATTTAACACTATCTGAAATTTCCTATTTTGAAACATATGATGTATTTCTTCCTAAGAGGATTGTAAAGTTAGTTTTAATTTCAATGAGTTTTAGGTTGTTTTTTAAACAAATAAGGGATTGTTGTTTTCTTTGTCCTTTAAAAATTTTAAAGTGTATGGGCTTTTCAAAGTGGTATACTTTTTATTGAATCATGATGGCTTAAAATAGGGCACATATTAATAAGGACCCATTTATTGACTTTCTTTCTTCTTCTTTTTTTCCTGCAGCACTAGAGTTTGAATTTAGAGTGCTGTGCTTGCCGGCAGGCTCTCTACACCTAAGCCATGCTCCAGCCCATTTTTTGAGGCTTGGATTTTTATAAAATCGAAATGGGAAGCTAATGCAAGGCTCCCTGGGTTGTACAGTATGTAACTGGGTTCAGAAGCTCTCTTGGTTTCTCATGGACTCCCTGGTCCCAGCCTGAAGACCAGATTAACCAGTACAGGACCTTACCCAGCGCGAGTCTACAACTTAGTCATGAACACATCCCTATCGACATCTAAAATGATAAAAATAGGTACAGGTTGGGTTTGTAGGGCAGACTCTAAAGTTCTTCCACGGCTTGAGTCTATGTGTTTCAGAACCAAGGGTAAGCTGGTGAGCTACCTGCCTCACCCACCAGTGCAATGATGCTCTGTGCTACTTCCTGGAGACACTCATGCATCCTCTCCACTCTGTTTCATTTCCTGCTTTCATTTCCTGGCATACTTGTCAAGAATCTTTGAATTTTTTAATTTTTTCCAAAATTATTATTTATTGTGAAAATATCGTACAGAGGGTTTCAATTACATAGGCAAGAATCTTTGGATTTTAAAGGTGTGTGTGTGTGTGTGTGTGTGTGTGTATACCTTAAGATCATCTGATCCAGAATTTTCAATTTCCACATGGATATTCTGCAGTGCAAGGGGTGGGGGGAGCAGTGCTTTGTCTGAGCTCTGATAGTAGTTGGTCATCAGAGCTGGATGCTAGCTTCCTACCTTCCTTCCCCTCTACCATTTTTTTTCCTATACCACACTACCTAAAGTAGGGTAGAGGAAATCCAAAACCAAATAAAACTCCTCAAACCACTGAAGCTATTTGTTAACCACAGCAATCTGTGGACAAAGACTTATATACTGGAAAGAAATGCTGTAAGTAGTAGTAATTGGCTGGGCATTGCAATGCAAAAAGGGCTAGTGTCTGCCTGGTAAAGCATGTGCTCCTCCATCCCAAGTTTTAGTTCTCCCCATTCCGTATCCTTTTAGGGCCATTTCTGGATGATCATTTTCTGTGAAGAATTTGGGGGAAGGCTGTCCACCAGAGCAGCAAATACTCACTGTTTATGGTACCTGCTAGTGCATTAATATTATTCAATCCAACAGTGGCTCCAGCCAGTCCTTGCAGAGTCCCAAGAGAGGTCAAGGAATTCATGGCTGCACCAGCAGTGGAGTTGGGGGTTGAAGCAGCCACTGAAAAACAGAAGAGGAGGAGAGAAAAAGCACAAGATGAGCCAAAGGCAGCTGTAACCATCATAGAGAGACAAGCTAAGTCATTGAATTGTTGCAAGTCCCTGATCCTCCCTTGTCTTTGTCCTGTGAAAGGCAAATGGAGTTCTACTCCTGGTCATTTTAACAATTAGATTAGATGATTAAAGACAAAGATTGTCGTAATAGGCCAAGGATGTAGCTTAGCAGTAGACTGGTACTTACTTAGCATGTTCAAGGCCCTCAGTTCACCACCACACTCATCCTCAAAATCATCACAGCTCTGTTCTGCCAATGCAGTGAATGTGTTTGCTGCTCTTCAAGACTAACTCTATCTCCTTTTGTTCAATTTTAGCCTTGGTACTTTTACTCATATATGCTTCAGCATGAAGTTCTAAGAATTATGGACATGGGATTAAAACCCACAGAACTATTATGTACATAACAAAATTAGTGCTAATCCATGGCTTTATAGTTTGAGAATTTTGTGAGTCGCTTTTGTGTGGAGATTATGCATAACAGAAATTGTCCTAGAAAACAAGTGGTATGGTATGGAGTATGTCTAACACACACACAGTTGAAGTTGCTGAGGGAAAATTCGAAAAAGGCAATACAAAATAAGTTAATTATTGAGAACTTCCCAGAAATGTAGACCAACAACAAACAAAACAGCTCCCCCTACATCAAATACCCCTTCCTCCATTTCTTGTCCCTCTTGTCCATTAAGAGTTTAGTCTTTCTGGGTTTCATTTATGAGGTTGGCCTCCTATTAGATACCTCAGGTTTGCACTGAATGTCCTTGTGTTCCTTATGCTATGGGAAGCAGAAGTTTATCAATGGGCCAAAAGCTCCTAAGGGTGAACCAACACCAATGTGGTGCTTTTCTAGGTTCCTTCTTTTCCTTAATCGCTAATTTCTGAGTATTCTAGTTTACTAGTTGTTGTTTTAATAATAATATTTGTAATAGCTTATTATAAAAATACCTTGTATGCCTTAACATATTTTCCCATGAAACTAACAGGACAGAAGATCTTCTCCTGCTCACATTTAGCATTTTTAGAGTTGAAAAGTAAAAACTGAAACAAAAAAAACTGCTGTAGGGTTCAAAAGTAGATACAACTAGCAAAAAATGAAGAAGTACTGGCGTCCATTCCGAAGAAGTATGAATAAAAAGGAAAGTGGGCAGAGCCTCAGAGAAATATGGCACACTAGTGAGCATACTGCCACTGTACTGTAATGCATACCTGCAGTACACATGCCCAAAAGAGACAGGAAAGACCGGACAAATGTCTAAGGATATGATGGCTAATAATTAATTAAGCATTAATTAACATATCAAAAAAATCAACAAACCGAATAAGATAAAGCACTCCTTTCTCACAAAGAGATATTTATCCAGATACGTGATAAAAGAAATGCTGACAAGGCAAAGAGAAAATCTTGAGGCAATAAAGTCTGTCCTCCAGTGGATTCACAACTGACTTCTCAGCAGAGGCAATGGAGTTATTTAATAGACTGCAGAATATGTTCAGAGTGAAGAAAAGATAGCTATAACAAAAAATTTTATCCATCAAAACTGTCTACTGAAAATGAGGGAAGATATTCCTGAAGAAAGATATTCCTAGATCAACAAAACAACCAGTCATTGCTATCAGAAATCTTATAAGAATTAATGAAGTTCTTCAGCTCCAAATTTCTTGTCACTTGAACTGAAGTCAGAAACACACAAAGTAAACCTAGTGACATTTCTCCCTCCTGCCCTCCTTCCATGTAGAACTGGGATTTGAACTTGGGCAGACCCTCTACCAGCCACACCCTAATCCTTTTTTGCATGATTTATTATTTTTTTAGGTGTGGTCAAGCTCCATCTACTTTTGGCCTCTTATGTAGCTGGGCTTACAGTTACTTCTATTTGGCCTCTTATGTAGCTGGGCTTACAGAACTACTATGCCTGGCTTATTGGTTGAGATGAAGTGTCACTATTTATGAGATTAGCCTTAAACCATATCTTTGCCTCTCTAGAATTACAGGTGTAGGCCACTACACCCAGCCTAACATTTCTTTTTATTTATTTTTTTGTAGAAGGCATACTGTATAGCATTTTCAACCTGGGGCAAAGCTGACTGCTGAATTGTAAGGAACATTCACCAAGTGACAGAAAACTGGCCATCAAGGGACTGTGGGTCTACTTCACTTAAAACATCTTTCCTACAAGAAGAAATTGCCCCTTGCCTTTTGTCCCTGTTTGCAGGTAGTGTGTAGTATAAATCTATCTCAGAAACTAGCTCACTTCCTAGAGAATAAATGAACAATTTTTTTGACTCTCCCCCTCCTCACTTTCTCCAGACATCCAGAGACTGTCTTTAAGCAACTTAAAACAATAGGAATAGGAATGAGCAAGAATGTGCCTTCAGTGCCTTCATTAGCCACTTCCCATACAATAATCAGCTGCTGAAAGCACAAGCAACTTTGTGGCTCAGGAAATTAAATAACTGTAAACAGAAAACGGCCTGTATTTACCAAATACACTCAGAAAATTGCCTGTACCTACCAAATACTCAGGACGTGGGAGCCTGCTGTTGCCATTTTGCCTCCATGGGCGCGGGAGCTGTGTGCCAACAGCGCAGGGTGTTTGAGGGGGGATAGTAATTATGCAGTGACATGGACGCCATCATCACTCGCAAACCACAATCCTAGGGCATTAACTCAATATAGCCTGCCTCTTCTCCCAAGGGGCCTCATTATTTTACAGTAACCACACTTCTCATTTTAATTTAGTTCTGAAAAGACCATGTTTGGTGGGGAGGGAGCAGAGGGAAGTGGGACTGGGAGGGAGGAGACTGTAAGACAATGGTGTCAAAGGTTTGAGGCTGTGTGATCTCACTACTTGACAGTCTTATGGGATGATGTTTTAGCCCACAAATGGCTGTACTGCTTTTCCTTCACTACACAGGCCAAGTAGCAAGCTTGAACCTAGTTTGCAATTCTCCAGAATAATATTTAGTATCATACCAAAATAATTTGTCCCATGTACTTGAATACCACTATATATGTGTAAATACATAAATTCATATATGGACACATATAAACCTCAATATTTCAATAAAAGTGAAGCTGAACTATTTTACAACTGAGACAATGATATTACTCTGATAACTCAGTTCCCTAAAGAACATATACAATTGAACTTCCTGTTGAACTTTTACTTAAACCCTACCTTAATTAGGAAGGAGGTCTTCTTGTTTTTAGACCTAGGTTTTCTACTATTTGTGAGATAACTATCTTTTCTGCTTCAACTCTTTTTGGAGTTCCAACTCAAAGCCTCAAGTAAACTGCCTTTTGAGCTACACTCTCTTTTTTTAGGTAGGGTCTCCTGGGTTTACCTGGGGCTAACCTTGGACTGTGGTCCTCCTACCTCAGCTTTCCTGCACAAACAGGACAGCGGACTTATGCTACCATGCCTGGGCTTGTTTCTGAAACTGGGTATTGTTTTTTTCTGGCTCACCTTGAACTACATTACTCCCACTTCTACCTCCTCTATGCTTTGCCTGTTTCAACTCTTGGTATTTCCCCAATCCTGCCAAATTTCTGAAGTCTCAGAGGCTCAGGTTCTCCTCCTCCTCATTTTAAAGGTTATTAATAGTCCATACTTCCTTCCTGGATGAGTGTCTATTTTCTGTACCTATCAGTTTTGGAAACATACTAACCAATTTTAAGCACAGCTCCTAAGAGTGGGTCTTGGGAATGGGTATGAAACTGGGATACACATTTACTGATCCTACATATAGGTTTAACAACTCAAGGCATGATTTCCAAGGAGCTTTCCCTTAATGGAACAATTAAGCAACATCTGCATCCAGCCTCACAGTAGGGGATAAACTCTGAAGAGGATGTCTCTGTGACTGACTCAGTGCATGGCTAAGCCTCAGGTGTTCTCTTTTTCGATTATGATCTATGTACTCAGCAACATTTTGGGTTTTTGCCCCTCAGCTATGTGCTGGTCCCAGCAAGAGAGGGAGAGGCAAGCTCACTGTGGTCGCTCCTCTGTGAGGGCAACAGTGAATGGGCTCTCTGGGCACTGCTCCCTCACCTGCTGCATGTGCGGCTGCAGCCCTGCACCCTGCCCTCAACTTAAGTCCTTCACTTTCCACCTCTCCCTAGGCTCTTCCTTGTTTCTTCTGTCCCCACACTTCTAACCGACAAGAATGACTACATTATGTCCATGAAGACAAATTTAGCTTTTTCTTGTGATATTGCTACTTTTATAGACTTTTTTGTTTCAATCACCTTTCAAAAGAAAAGTTCTTTAATTCTAGTTTCATATCACTACAGAGCTGAGATGTCTGCTCTACCACTGGCGTGGGACCACACCTCAGGAAGGAAGGGACCACCTAAATGCTAACTTTGTAAAATCCTTTTCTGCCCCTCTGTGTGTCTTCCCTGGTTACTAGGGATCTCCCTTCCACCTCCTCACCCATCTGTCTGTCCCACAAGCACAGTCATCAGCCAGGGATTTCCCCTTCTCCACCTCGATTCTAGCACAATACCCACAGGCCTTTCTCTGCAGTGGAGTCTCAGCCCACTCTTCCAGTCTCTACTATGCCTGGGGGTCAGGAAGCCAATTGCTGGTGGTGGATACACTTTAGTGAGCCTGTTTACATGGGCTTCTGCAATATGTGTCCAATCATCTTACAGTACAAAGGTTTCCTTGTCCTTAATACTCCACCACTAGTGAACACACTGCTCGCTGGTCACCCAAACAGCATGCTGAGGTCATCTTCAGTCCCTTTTGTTCTCCTTCACATCAGATCGGTTCCTAGGTCCAGTCAGGACTTGCTTGGGGTTAAAATCTGTAAGCGGCTCTTTACTACCTGTAAGAACAAGTCCTGGCTCCCTTAGCTGTGGCTTTTAATGTATCTCATACTTGTGAAAAATGAAGTGAATATCAGCTTGTGAATTAAATTCTTCATATTCCATGTATGATA